AATAGCAAAACTTTCAGGAGGGGAAAAAACACACAGACACAATGAATCGTCGATCCCCAGGAAAGTATAGGAAAATGTGGGAAGTGGGAGGGAAGACAGAAACCCAGAAGTGGGCGCTGCCATTTCTTTACGTTTCGGGATCTTTGAGACGGACCTCGCGCCGCCCGGCAGCTCAGGCAGCTTTGGCAGCTTAGGTTCGGCCGTCGGTCCCCGTGCGCTTGGCAATAAGGCTCGCGCGTCGCCCGCCCGACTTCTGACGCTGCTGGCGCGCTTGCCTGCGGCCGCGACGAACAAAGATCTTTGAGACGGGGGTCAATGCAAACAGGGGTCTGCCAGAGCGCCCGATCCTGCAGGATCCTGCACGGCCAGGGTCGCACTGACACGGGCTTGGGTGCAGGATCTTGCAGGATCCTGCAGGGCCCGACTGACCCGGGTCTGGATTGACCCGGGTCAGAAGATTCCCGAACGCTATGGCTAAGTCGGGCACGTCCCTCTACAGGGGGCATATTCAAAAGTAGTCAAAAAAGATACTTGGGATGATGTTGCTACTATGTTTGATTGGTCGGGGGTATTTGGTTTAGGAGTGTTTTGATTTTCGCCAGGAATCCGCCTGTAGGGGGACATGTCCCACCTAACACTATGGGCGTGTTCGCTGGGCTTCGGGCCCCAGGACCCTCACAGATCGACTCGGCTCGAAAAGTGCGGCGGGAAGACGAGGCGTTCCGGCCGTGATTTTCGGAGGTGTTGCAGTGTGTTCGCAGGATCTCAGGGTCTGGGAGGCGGGCGAGGAGCAGGAGGAGCACGCGGATGAGCCAGGTAATTAATCAGAGCGTGAATTACCTACCCCGCTTTTGCTTCCAGGCAAAACCAAGTCATACCACGCGCCTCCTGGTCAAGCGGCCTGACCAGTACAGGCCGTAGTTTGGCATCGCTTGGTATCTCTTGGAAGCGAGGGTGGTCAAAAGCGAGGTAGGTTTGCTTTCCCCCAAATTAAAGGGAAAGTGGCAAGTCAGGCGCGCTCGCGCCATATCTGACATCCTGCCCCTCCCACCCACCCCTTCCCGGGGCGCTGGGTTTCTCTATCCGCGGACGCGTGTCGTAGCGGACCTGGGAACGCCCAGAGGTCCAAATCGTGTTTTGCGCAATTGTTTCAAGGGGATCTGCGTGCATGCGAGGAGGGAGAGGAGGAGGAGGAGGAGGGGGAGGAGGAGGAGGAGGAGGAGGAGGAGGAGGAAGAGGAGGAGGAGGAGGAGGAGGAGATGGAGGTGGTAAATCAGCAGGAGGAGGAGCAGGAGGAAATGGAGGAGAAGGAGGAGGAGGAATGAGGAGGACGAAGTCGAACAGCAGCAGCGGGAACTGGGGTGGAATGAGCGGGAGCAGCAGGAGGACCAAGGGAAGGCGGGGGAGGGGAAGCGAGCGGGGCGACAACGATGAGGAAGCACTCGGATCCAGAAAAGTGGCCCGCGCTTGGGCGAGGGCGCTATTCTGAACGATGGGAGCAGAGTGCCGATGTGAAAATGAAGCCACAACTGCAGCGGGGACACCACCTAGAGACGCCGTAGACGTTCCAGCTGAAAAACAGCAGGAAACAGCGAACAATGGCTTCCTGAGAAATAAAGATCTGTACGCCAAGGGTGGCGGGCCACTCCCCCAGCGTCTTCGGGGGAAAGATGGGGGTAGTATTCATATTGAGCAACTGCAGAGGAGGAGGGGAAGAAGAAGGGGAGGACGGAGGGAGAAAGGGGGAGGGCAAGCTAGGTGCGCCCGCGCCATATCTGACATCATACCCCTCCCACGCTTCCCGTCCCAGGGTGCTGTTTTGTTTTCGCTGTCCGCCGACGGGTGTCGCAGCTGACTGAGAGACCCCACATTGAGTCCACTGTGTCATGAGCAATCTCATCAGTAGCGCTGCGTACACTGAAGGAGGACGTGGCGGATGAGCTGGGGGATGAGCAGGAGGAAGAGGAGGAGGAGGAGGAGGAAAGAGGAGGAGGAGGGAGGAGGACGAAGGGGGACAGCAGCAGCATGAGCAGTAGTGGGAGAAACGCGGGGAGCAGGACGACCGGGGGAAGGCGGGGGAGGGGACGACGATGAGGAAGCATTCGGATCCAGGAAAGCTCCCTCGCGCTTGGGCGAGGGCTCCATTCTGGGAGCAACGCGCCGAGCCTAAAAGGAGGCCAACGCTTCAGCGTGAACACCACTTTGAGACACCGTAGACGCTCCGGTGAAAAAGCAGTAGGGGAACCTCAAACAATGTAATCCTGTGTATCAGGAGACCGTATGCGACGTGTGGGGAGAGAGGTGAGGGTAGTATTCATGTTGAGTAGTTGGCGAGGGGAAAAGATTGCGGGGGGAGAATGAGAATGACATTGGTAATGTCCAACCACACAGTGGTATTACAACCTTAATCAAACCGAGCCCGAAGACGAAGCACAGGAAAAGGATGAGCGCGATGAACCACGCAAGCCTATACACCGTCAGAATACCCCGCATGCATCATCCCTAAGCACAACTAAGTTGAAATTAATGTGGCTCGATGCGGTCCGTGCAGCGCAGAAACCACTGGTCATCGGAGAACCCCAAGAACCGCAAAGCACCGCGGAACAGTTCCATAACGAGATGGCCACCGCCACAAGCATCCTCGTCGCGATATCTGCTGCAAGCTTCATCCAATTATGCTTGTCACGGGAACCAGTGAGCATCGAAGAAGCACAGGGATATACCTGCAAATTAATCAGAGGTGCGGTCCACCAGCAAAATATGAACGCACTTGCACATCAACAAAGAGACTCCAGTTGAGCAACATGCCACACTAGTGACCTGCCACCCAAGGCCGAATTGAACCAGCGAGATGACCACAGAAACATTGGAACCAGTGAGTGACAGCTGCAACCCATCCCACCAGAGAAGGACATTGAAATGCAACGGGTGCGTGGGTAAATGCACAGCCAGGCTCCGCCTATAGCCCGCGTTGCCACCAGACCGAGATCAAAGCGCATGGTGCCACCGATGAGGCAGCCCCGCAACTGACGTGCAGGCTGCCCCGTGAGCGCCGCCGCCCGCCACGTGCAGAAGTGCAGAACTGCTTCAGACCACAGGTCCCTCAACCGGGCCGCTTCCGGGACGATGGTTGCTTGGCGACCTTGTCCACAATTGATGCGACCATCCACATCACGGCCGGGTCGAGATTACAGTCGGGGCCCTGAAGAAGGAACCCTTTTGGTTGGGGAGGGGCTCCACGTTCCTCGAGTGTTTCACAGCTTGCCTCAGGTTTGCCTTATGTTTTCGATGGGAAGTCGAAGTTTAACTTATGGAAAAAAGGGGCCTCGTTCCTTTATTTAGGGTTCCTTAGGTCAACGCCCCGACTGTAGCGTGTGGCTGGAGGGCACCTAGCGCAACCCCGGCATCTGTCCAGAGCGGGGCTCTCCCGTGCTGCTGCGTCGCAGCTTCTCCGTGCTCTGCCCGACCTTGTGGTCCTTCGCGGACTCATGGAAATCAACGCACGTCCCAGTGTAGGCCTTAAGGGGAAGCGCAGGCTGACGGTCGCACGCTCGGTCGCCACCAGTGTCGCTGGGATCTCCTTCAAGCACAGGTTAGCAAGGACACGGAGAGCGCATGCGTGAGAGAGCGACCCGTCTTACTCCGCCGTGAAAAGGATGTTCGATCCATCGAGCGTCACTGCAGTGCACAAGCTCACTGGTTAAGCATACCGTCCGTGCCCACGAACTGAGCAGGATTCATCGGGCCGCCCGTACTGACCTCCACAGCCAGATCGTGTCCACCCTGAAGATGGTGAAACGGCTCGTCAGGTCCATGATTGCACGTTTTCGGCCGATACCTTGGCACCCGTCCCACAGATACCAAAGTAATTGCCCTGCTCCCCATTCTAATGAAGCCGTGCGCCGACTGATAGAGATCGCCGTCGCATGAGGAAGCTACCCAACTATAGCCTCGAAAGCCATGCAGTTGTACATGATCCTCCTCTCGACGTTGTCAGGCATATGCCCCGTGTGTTTCTGCAACAGCGAGCCGAGGCATTCCCAACACGACGGTGGTAGGCAAATACGCACAATGATCACCACTGTCGGAGTCTGAACCAAACTCACGTTCTCGTACAACTGGAACCCATCCTTGGTTTGCGTGCTAACTCCAAGCTGCCTCAGGCTAGGTCCTGCATTGCGCTCCAATGTGGTCGTCTCGATATCCGAGGCCTCCCATGCACGTAGACCTTGGGCACACAGACCTTCCACTGCAGCCAGGCGAGCACCGAAACCGCTCATGAGGCGACCGGACAGGTTGACACACTTCGCGTCGTCTTTGTTGCCGAGAGCAGCTGAACCCGCTTTCCGTCCAGTCGCTTTGAACGTCCTCCAAGCGCCACGAGAAGGCGAGAGGCGTGACTGCGAACAACCGGGCCTGGAAGGTGACGGACAATTCGAGCCACATCCGCTTGGGAAGCGGGCGGGGGGAGGAGAGGAGTAGGAGGAAGGAGGAGGAGGAGGAGGAGGAGGAGGAGGAGGAGGAGGAGGAGGAGGAGGAGGAGAGGAGGACATGGGGCAGCGAGCTCTCCCCACTTGCGATTGCGCTCGATCGACACGTCGGGTGCACGGCCTTTGTGCTCTGGGTTGTCCTGTTCGGCGATCGCGGGTTCTTTGGTTGCACAATCTATCGCTGCGCAGTCCCGCCGATACGGTTTGATCGATGCAGTGTGATGGTAGCCTACAGTGGAGCCTTGCTCGCCCGTGGGTTGGTCATTTGCGTCGACCTGACCATCTTAGAGGAAAAAGAACTATGCACATACACCGGTTCTGGCCAGGCCCATCCTGAGCCCAGGATCAGTGCATACGCCCTCCTACCTTGGCCAGGAAGGCATATGCACCGATCCTGGGTCAAGGATGGGCCTCGCCAGGATCGGTGCATGTGCATAGTCCTCTTCGCCCGACATCTGGGAAGCGCCGCGCTTCCGAGCCACAGGTCGCGCTCGTCCAGGGATAGCTAAGGACGGCAGGAGAGCAAGCTCGTCACGCCGCGGGAGCTTCGGCCTCACCTCGCCGCGCGCGCACCTGGTGGACGGCTCGCCGCGTGCTCGAGCGGGGCGGCCGTATGGGGCGGGCTTCTTCGCGGAAGACGTCGCCCCAGAGTTCGGCAAGGCCGGAGCGGTCGGGGCTCAAGAGATTTGGACGATCGAAACGGGCACGGGAATAATTGGTACGATGCCCAAACAGCAGTTCCTGTTTTGTGAACAAGACTCGCTGTCCGCGCCGCCGCGGACGTTGTTCACTGAAGACAAAGCCGCCTGCCCAACAGCGGCCGCCCTTGGTTTTGGACAACATTTATTGTCGGGCATTGTACCTATTTTTTCTCACCCATTTGGGGCGTCCAGAAGAGACGGGGTCAATGCAAACGTGGGACAGCCAGAGCGCCACATCTTGCAGGATCCTGCAGGGCCAGGGGCGCACTGACCCGGGCTTGGGCGCACGATCCTGCAGGATCCTGCAAGGCCTGACTCACCTGGATCTGGATTGACGCGGGTCGGTAGATCCCCGAAGCGGTGGCAATGCTTGGGGCGGCGCATCGCGACAGCCGCCAGAGATGGTCCAGGCTGACCTCAGCAGGTCCCCAGGGTGGCCCGAGGCGGTCGCAACACCGGGGGCGCTGCCCGAGGCCGCGCGCTGGTGTTGAGACCGCCGCGGGGGCGAGTGTGGGCCACCACTCGGGGCTGTCCCTGTGCCTGGGCATCGCTCGGACGTGTACATTTTTTTCTTCGGCGAGGACCATCGAGGAGCATCCTCGAGCATTTGGCGAACAAGCCACGCACGAAACCGAACAAAAGCACAGGACATTGACGTCCGAGCGATGGTCCCTCTGCGCAGCCCCAGGCTTCCGGGCCGCCCACATATGGTGCCAGGGTAGCCAGACGGAGTGGGAACACTTGCGCCGCATCGGCTACGCGGCGCGATCCAGAGCCCGATGTTCTCCACTTCGACGTCGCCGATGCCCTGCTACAGTGAACGCGCCTAGTAAGGACGCGCGCCTTCGTCTAGGGTACCCTTGCGTCCTTGCCTCTGAGGCCCGTCCTTGCCATTATCACTGGTCGCCCGCCGCCCTAAGAAACCCAACTTCGGCCTCCAGGGGTCTTGCGTCCTTATCACCCGTCCTTAATACACGTTTTGACTGTAATGCTTCGGCCAGGCGCTGCGATGATCCGACCCCGTGTGCTCCGGCCTCGCTGCATGGCGGCCTCCGAAGCCCTGCCAGAGAGCGGCGCGTGCGCAGGCGAGAGGTTCGGCCCATCCGAATCTATAGAGCCTGCCCTCCGACGTCGTCGCCGCCTGGCCACCCTGCGAGCAGCTGCCGTGCCGACGGGCCCCAAGCCTGCGCCCCTCGTGAGCCTCGTCGCCTCCTCCCCTCCTTGTGCGCCCTCCCGTGCTCCTTCTCTTGCTCTCGATCCTCGTCCTCGTGCTGCTGATGCTATCGTTCCGGGGGGCCGGTGGGGCGCGGTGTCCCGCAGGTGTCCCGCCTCGGGCTGGGGCGCGGCCGGACCAGATGTTTCCTTTCCGGGGGCCGGTGGGGCGCGGTGTCCCGCCGGTGTCCCGCCGGTGTCCCGATGTTGATGATGATGATGATGATGATGATGATGATGATGATGATGGTGATGATGATGATGGTGATGATGATGATGATGATGATGATGATTTGACGATGTTGACGATGCTGCTGATGATGATGATGATGATGATGATGGCCATGGTGGTGATGATGATGGTGTCCCGATGATGACGATGTTGATGATGCTGATGTTGCTGATGTTGGTGATGGTGTCCCGATGATGATGATGATGATGATGATGATGATTATCCTGATGATATTTATGATGATGAGATGGTGATTATGATGCTGATGATGAAGATGATGATGACGATGGTGTCCCGATGATGATGATGAGGTTCATGATGATGCTGTTGATGATGATGACGTTGATGATGATGGTGTCCCGATGATGATGATGTGGATGATGATGACGATGATAGTGTCCCGATGATGATGATGCTGTTGATGATGAGGATGCTGATGAGGTGATGATGATGGTTTTGATGATGGTGCCCCGATGGTGATGATGTTGATGGTGATGATGATGTTGGTGCCCCGATGATGATGCTGATGATGATGATGATGATGGTGATGATGATGCTGACGAGGATGATGGTGTCCCGATGATGGTGATGTTGATGATCATGATGTTGCTGTTGATGATGATTGTGTCCCGATGATGATGATGTTGATGATGATGATGAGGATGATGATGGTGTTGGTGATGTTGGTGATGAAGATGATGATGGTGATGGTGGTGATGATGATGGTGTCCCGATGATGATGATGATGATGATGATGATGATGATGATGATGATGATGGTGGTGCTCCGATGCTGATGAGGACGATCATGGTGTCCCGATGATGATGATGATGATGATGATGATGATGATGATGATGCTGATGATGATGTTGATGATGATGATGATGACGGAGACGATGATGGTGTCCCGATGATGGTGTTGATGACGCTGATGACGATAATGCTGATGATGATGTTTATGACGTTGATTGTGAGATCGATTGTGATATCGATAGTGACATCTATAATGAGACCGAATGTGATTTCGATTGTAAGATCGATAGTGAGATCGATAGTGAGATCGATTGTGCGATCGGTAGTCAGATATATTGTGAGATCGATCTAATGAAATCGATCGAGTGAGATCGATTGTGAGATCGATCGAGTGAGATCGATCGAGCGAGACCGATAGTGAGATCGATAGTGAGATCGATAGTGAGACCGATCGAGTGAGACGTGGGTTCCTCCCCCGCCCGAACCTCCTTATCACCCGAAGGGTGGTCGTATAGGTATATATATATACACATATGTATGCCCTTCGTGGCCCCCGCTCGTTCGCGCCCGTCGTGGCCCCATGTGCATGCCCTTCGTGGCCCCGCCGTCGCCCTTTGTGGCCCCCTCGCTGTCCTGCGCGGCCCCGTTGCTGCCCTCGGTGGCCCCGTCCTTGGTTTCTGTGGCCCGGCATTGTCTGCCCTTCGTGCCCCTTGCTCGTTCGCGCCCCTCGTGGCCCCCATGCGCGTGCCCCTCGTGGCCCCGCTGTCGCCCTTCGCGGCCCCCGTTCCTGCCCTTCGTGGCCCCGCTGTCGTTTTCGCTCTCGCTCTCGCTCGCCGTCGTCGTGTCCTCGTCGTCGTCGTCGTCGTGGTCGGTCCCCTGTCCGCCCCTCCTGGGGTCGGGCTGCCGCCGATCAGCGCTGCCGCTTGCCAGGCCGACGGTCCGCGGCCGCCCTGCCGTTCCGCCGTCTGCCGAGGCCCGGCTTGCAGGGAAGAAAGATATACCCCCCAAAAGGAGCACGATCGAAGACGAAGAGGGCGGGTATCGAGGGTTTGGGAAATACACTTTGAATGACACTCGATCATATAAGAGCGAACAGTATTAAAATTATTGTTGTTGTTGCTGCTGTTGTTGTTGCTGTTGTTGTTGAGCTTGTTGTTGTTAGTGTTGTTGTTGGTGTGATGTGTGTTGTTGTTGTTGGTGTTGTTGCTGCTGCTGTTGTTGTTGTTGTTGTTGTTGGTGTTGTTGTTGTTGGTGTTGTTGTTGTTGTTGTTGTTGTTGGGCGTCGTCCCCCCCGCGATCCGGCCCGCGACCCACCCCGCGACCCACCCCGCGACCCGCCCGCGACCAACCCGCAACCCAGCCCGCGACCCACCCGCGACCCACCCGCGACCCCCCCGCGACCCCCCCACGACCCCTTCGCGACACACCCGCGACCCACGCCGCGACCCACCCACATTGCTTTGTCGGCGAAACGGCGCCTGCGGCGGGCTCGTTGTATGATTCGTTAGGCGCCTGCGGCGGGCTCCTTCAGAACCTCGCTGACTGCAGACGTCCCCGCCGCCCCCTCACTCTTATCCGCGACTGCGGGGTGCTACGTTTATGTCGGGCCTGTCCCTCCACAGGAGGAATATGCTTTTCACTATTTCCGGCTGTTTCGAAGATTTTAAAGTATATCTGTCTTCCAAAATCCGCCTGTAGAGGGACATGCCCGACCTAATGCCACGTAGAATATTGGCTTGTCTGAGCCGTCTTGGAAGCCATCTCGGGCGGCTGAAGACGCCTCCCACACGCAGCGAAGTGCTGGAAGAGGGAGGGTCCCTCCCTCCCTCCCCTCCCTCCCTCCCTCCTCCTCCTCCTCCTCCTCCTCTTCCACCTCTGCCCCCGCCTCCTCCTCCTGCGCCTCCTCCTCCTCCTCCTCCTCCTCCCTACTCCTTCCTCCTGGCCCCTTCCCCGCCCCCAGCCGAGAAGGTATCCGCCTGCCCTGCTGCGCTGACCCAAGGCGTCTGACCCGTTGGGGTGTGAACAACCGTTATGTTTGGCCTCTAGCCGTCTCTACGGATCAGGCCCCCATCTCTCCCCCGGTCCATCGCACGGGTGGGCTGCGGGCGCCTCCTTGCTTGGCCCGCCAGAAAGGTCCCCAGAGTGCTGCCGTCGTTCCAGGAGGTCAAGGGGAAGGTGGCGAAGAACTGGGGCGCGATGCAGCGGAACATCATCCGACGGGAGCGCGCCCCCCCTGCGAAAGGGAAGCTTAGGGGGCCACACGCGAAACCTACCCCTACCCCCCCCGATTTCTGAGGGGGAGGGTGGGGTTCACTTCGTCTGGGAGCTCCCGAGCGAAGTGAACCTCACCCTTCCCCTCATAAATCGTGGGGGGTAGGGGTAGGGTTCGCGTGTGGCCCCCTGAAGCTGCCGCCGCGCCCCGCCCCCCTTTGGCCCTGCGGGCTCGGGCAGGCCTGGCCCCGGATCTCCTCCCGCGTCCTGCTCTCGGGCGCGCAAGGAGCGCATCCCCTCCGATGGCGGGCCGCACCCTGCTGGTCGTCGTCGTCGTCGTCGTCATCGCCGTCGTCGTTATGTGTCTTTCCTCGTCGTCGTCCTCCTCCTCTTCGGTCGTCGTTGTTTCCGTCGTCGTTGTCACCGTGGTCGTCCAGCCTTGCCCGGGCGCCCCATGGACCTCCTCCCTGCGGCCCGTGCCCCTCCTCGGCCCCCCGCGCTATATATATATATATATATATATATACGGCAGTCCGTTGCCCCCCCATGTGGCAAGCACATCGCCTTCGGCACCGCCTGACTCCGGGGCTGTGTCCTCTCTCGGCCTCGACGCGAGGCCCCTCCTTCTGCCCTCCCCCCTCTGTCAATCAAAGCTTCGCGCGGCCCGCTTAGCTTCGACCGGAAGAGGTGCGCTCTCGACCCGCGGATCAAAAATTATCCCGGCAAAGCAACCTAACAGCGATATGTAGACGCATATCTGAAAGCATTCCCCTTAAGATTCAGATGAAAATCCAGTTGTAGAATTCTGCTGTTCTCGCAGTCGTAGTCGCATTCGCGATGACAGTCGCAGCGGCAACGGCAGTCGCAGTCACAGCCTCAGCCTCAGCCTGCCTCAGCCTCAGCCTCAGCCTGCCTCAGCCTCAGCCTCAGCCTCAGCCTTCAGCCTCAGCCTCAGTCTGCCTTCAGCCTCGGCCTCAGCCTCAGCCTGCCTCAGCCTCAGCCTGCATCAGCCTCAGCCTCAGCCTCAGCCTGCCTCAGCATCAGCCTGCCTCAGCCTCAGCCTCAGCCTGCCTCAGCCTCAGCCTCAGTCTGCTTCAGCCTCAGCCTCAGTCTGCCTTCAGCCTCGGCCTCAGCCTCAGCCTGCCTCAGCCTCAGCCTGCCTCGGCCGCAGCATCAGCCTGCCTCAGCATTCAAAATGTGGCCCAGGAATGGAGTTCTGGGAACTAGAAGAACACGAAGTGGCCTACAGTTGGCTCCGGGCATTCAAAATCATGCCCAGGAATGGAGTTCTGGGAACTTGAAGAGCACGAAGTGGCCTACAGTTGGCTCCGGGCATCCAAAATGTGGCCCGGGAATGGAGTTCTGGGAAATCGAAGAGCACGAAGTGGCCTACAGTTGGCTCCGGGCATCCAAAATGTGGCCCGGGAATGGAGTTCTGCGCGCGGCGGGGGTACTTATAAGTACTTATGCTAGTTATAAGTAACTTATGAACTTACGGCCTACTTATAAGTAACTTATAAGTAACTTATAAGTAGCCCGTAAGTAGCCCGTAAGTAGCCCGTAAGTAGCCCGTAAGTAGCCCGTAAGTAGCCCGTGGGTTCTAAATTTCAATGGTTTTGGTTCCAAGCTGTTTGCGATTTTGCTAACATGCTTTCTGTGAGTTCCATGTTCGGAGGTCGATTTTTTCAGCATGCAATCTGGATTCGTATATTTCCATGTTCGGAACAGAATTTTTCGCAGGTTGTAACTACATTCGTGCGCATGATGTTAAGCTGATCAAATTTCTGTTTCTGTTGTTCGCGCCTATAATTTCAATGCTAACTTAAACGAAATTCTTGACACTTCGCGTATCCCCACCAGCCCATCCATAGTGAAACAGCGCGGGCACTACTGTTGAATTGGGGAGATCTCTGGTAGCGAAGGGTGCGGGTGCTGCTGCTGGTGCTGTTGCTGCTGCTGCTGGCACTGCTGCTGCTGCTGGTGCTACTGCTGGTGTTGCTGATTCTCGTGCTGCTGGCGCTGCTGCTGGTGCTGGTGCTGGTGGTGCTGCTGATGCTGGGCAGGTGTTGCTGGCGCTGCTGCTGGTGTCATTGCCGCTGGTGGTGCTGTGGGTGCTGGTGGTGCTGCTGCTTCTGGTAGTTTTGCTGCTGGTGCTGCTGGTGTTGCTGGTTCTCGTGATGCTGCTGGCGCTGCTGGTGCTGCTGATGGTGCTGGTGTTGCTGTTGGTGGTGGTGGTGGTGCTGCTGCTGCTGGTGCTGCTGGTGCTGGTGCTGGTGCTGGCGATGGTTATCGTGCTGCTGGTGCTGCTGGTGCTGCTGCTAATGCATTTGCTGCTAATGGTGGTGATGTTGGTGCTGCTGATAGTGCTAGTGCTGTTGCTGCTGCTGCTGCTAGGTGCTGCTGCTGGTGCTGCTGCTGACGGTGGTGGCGGTGTTGCTGGTGCTACCGCTGCTGCCAAGTGCTCTTGCTGGTGGTTGTAGTGATGCTGCTATTGATGCAGGTGCTGACGGTGGTAGTGAAATCAGGCAGCGTAACAACCGCCTAGGAAGCGTTTTCTCGGAGGTATATGGGATCTTCGGGCCATGTGGTGCTCGTTTGGAAGGTCTTGGGGGGGATCTTAAATTCTTTTTGGTGGCATAGGGGACCTCTTGGAGCAGTGGCCACCATTGTTCAAAAAGAGGGGGGCTTAATTCCACCCACCCACCCCTAGGAGCTTCCAAAAAAGGCGCTCTTGCGCTCTTGGACGCTATTGGGGCCCTCTTGGGGCCCCTTGGGCCATCTCGGGGTCATCTTGACGCCTCAAGAGCCCATCGGAAGCGAAAAAGCGAACACACCAAAAAACATTTGTTTTCCTTTGGTGTTGGTGCAAATTTGGCCTCTGTGGGTTTGAACGCGGGGGGTTGGAGGGCACTTGAAACCGTATTGGTTCGTGTCGGATGCTATCTCGAGCCACCTTGAGGTATGTTTGGCCATATTGGAAGCTCGGGCTCTCTGAGGCCGTCTTGGAGCCATCTCGAGCCATCAAGGACGTTCTAACTCCTCGCAGGTAAGCCCGCCCAGACGCAGAGGAGGAAGGTAAACTCTCGAGCAGGGAACGGAATGAGGTTGGAAAAGGAAACGGGCTGATTGGATTCACACTTCGATGTTGTGTGCGTCGATGATAACATAATTGCTCGGGAACCGAATATACCATACGGATTTGAAGATTTTCTGGGCTCGTCGTTTGTGGTGGTGCGGTTGGGGATCTCACGAGGCACAGAGCGTGAGAGCGCATCGACTTACAAACCGCACGCAAACTAATGCAGCGGCCATATAACTGTAGCAGCCCCGTCGGCGCCTGATCGCCAATTTCCGTGGGCAAGCAAATCGCTAGACAAGACTACGGTTGGACAGTCACCCCTCGCTCCTCATTCATGTAGCTTCTCGTCCCCGCTTGCCCACGTCACACATAATCTTCCTCACTACTCCTCATACACAGTCGTCCACTTACGCCTGCTCCCTCCGCATCCCCCCTCCCTCTGCTTCGTCTCCTCATCGTTTTCGTGATCATCACCATCGCTCCTTATCCTCGCCTTTTGATCCTTACTCAAACTCCGCGTTCCTGACCCTCTATCCATCCTCATCGGTCCTCATCCTCGCGCATCCTCTACCTTCTAATCCCCGTCCTGGTCCTTCCCATCGTCGTCTCGCCTCCTCCTCACTTATCATTCTGCGTCATCCTCAATTCTTGGCGTTTCGAGTACCCCCACCAGACCGTCCAGAAACGATGCCCACGGGAGTTGCCCTGCACGGGGTCGTGCGGGAGCATGCAGTGAAGCAAAGAGGGGGCGGCCGTTATCCTTCGAAGGGGGAGGAATGATGACAAAATGGAGGAGGAGGAGGGAGAGAGGAGGCATGCGGCAGAGGCGGACGTGGCGGAGAAGACGACGAGGGCGAGCAAAGGAAGAGGAACTTGTCGGAACATGTCCCCACTTAATTGCACGTGAACCGTAGGTGGGAGGAGGAGGAGGAGTCAGAGGATGAAAGGAAGGAGGACAGGGAGGATGGCGAGGAGGATGGGGAAGGAAGAAGGCGGAAACGGCCACATGGGAGGCGACGGCGATGACATAGAAGCCTCTTAGAGGCCTCTTGTTGTCATCTTGGGGCTTTCTCGGGGCACGGTTGGGAGCTTCCGGAAGCCTCTTGGGGGTCTCCTGGGGCCCTCCCTCTTGGGGCAATCTTGGAGACCATCGATCAAAAAGGGATGGTCTTAGTAACGCACCCCCGGTGGATGCCAAAGTCGCTTCCAAGGTCCCTCGCGGGGCCTTCTTAGGGCGCTTTTGGGCGTTCTTGGGGCCGTCATGGTACCTTCTTAATCATCTTGGGGCTCTCTTGGGTCATCTTGGAACCACTTTGGGGTCTCGGGGGCCCATCGGAAGCGAAAGAGCGAGAAAGTAAGCAGCGTTATCTTTAAGTGTTTTTGGCCTCTTGGGGGCATCCTTAGGAGGCTCCGTGCCCACTTGGAGTCATATTGGGGAGATTTTGAAGCTTCTTGGAGGCATTTTGGAAGCTACCTTGAACCATCCTGGGCTATCTTGAGCGATCTTGGAAGATCATCTTGGGCTATCGGAGGTCCTCTTGGACGTTCCAACCCCTCCCTCGCGCCCCCCCCCCCCGTCCAGACTTGGCTCAAAAATGCTTCCGCGATGCCTCCGCTTGCCTCCAATATCAACAAGTCTGAAAAATACTGAGCGGTTACTTTGGCGCGAGGTGCCGCCTACCAAAAGGGCCCCATAACGGCTCCACAATGCTTCTAAGATGCTGGAGCGATCTGTTTGAGACGCAGGAGACGGAGGCTGAGGAGGAGTGAGGAAAATAAGTGGGGTGGGCGGCCTGGATTTGGATGAAGAGAGAGGAGACGCAAACTGGAGTGGGAGTGTGGAGCAGGAGTGGCTTAAAGGTGTGAGGAGACGCGTGAGGAAGACGATCAAGGGTGTGCATGGGAAGTGGGGAGCAGAACGTGAACTTAC